GCAGGCTTCAGCAGTATGTGGACCGGGAACTCCCAGAAGTACAAGCTGGATTTCGAAGGGGCAGAGGAACACGAGACCAAATTGTTACATGCACTGGATTATGGAGAAAGCCAGAGAGTTCCAGAAAAACATCTACTTCTGCTTCATTGACTATGCAAAAGCCTTTCACTATGTGGACCACAGCGAACTATGGCAAGTTCTTCATTTTCCTTTCTTGGGCTCCATGATCACTGCAGATGGTGACAGCAGCCATGAAATTAAAAGACATCTGCTTCTTGGGAGGAAAGAGATGACAGCCCTAGACAGCATCTTAAAAAGCAGAGACATCACTTTGCCAAAAAAGTCCTGTATAGTCAAAGCTATATTTTTTCCAGTAGTGATGTATGGAAGTGAGAGCTGGACCATAAAGAAGGCTGACAGCCAAAGAATTGATGCTTTTGAATTGTGGTGCTGGTGGAGACTCTTGAGAGTCCCTGGACTGCAAAGAGAGCAAACCTATCCATTTTTGAAGGAAATCAACCCTGAGTGCTCACTGGAAGGACAGATCCTGAAGCTGAGGCTCCAATACTTTGACCATCTCATGAGAAGAGAAGACTCCCTGGAAAAGACCCTGATGTCAGGAAAGTGTGAAGGCAAGAGGAGAAGGGGGGACAGAGGACGAGATGGTTGGACAGTGTCACCGAAGCGACCAACATGAGTTTGACCCAACTCCCCGAGGCAGTGGAAGACAGGAGAGTCTGGCGTGGTCTGGTCCATGGGGTCACGAAGAGTCAGACACAACTGGACAACAACAAATTTCACAGATCGCCAAGAATGGATATGAACTGTTCTAAATCCTTGAAAAGCTGTTTACAAATGCTGAGTACTATCATCAAGATGCCAATAAGTCGGGATCTACTGCTGTTCTATCTCAGGATCTGACCCACAAACTGATACTGCAGTGAGCTGTCCACGCAGCTAAATGAAGCTGCCTCCCCATGCTCATAGTACCCTTATAGATGTTCTATTACCATTATGCTTCTGACAGAGGTTAATGCTACAATTAGCGAATTTAGAAAGTGCAAACAGCAGTTTTCAACTGGAAAGCCTAACTCAGAGAAATTATTAATTAAGACTCTTGACCAACCAGTTGAGAATACCTAACATTCACAAAGTAACTTTGCATCTGAACACACTATTCAAGAGCTTTCTATCAAGTCATGTTACTTTTGTTGGATTATTTGCTATTAAAGATATTTCCATATAAATGCAGGGAACTGTTGGCTCAAAAAGAAAGGGCCACCAGAGTATCCACAGCCATGTAGGATACCCAGTGAGCAGCGAAGGTGAATGAAAAAATAAGTCAGCAAACAAACAATATATATAAAGAAGTAACCCAATATATAAAGAAGTAACCCAATATAGTTGGGACGTGGTGTTGCTGTGGGCTAAACCACAGAAGCCTGTGCTGCAGGGTCAGAAGACCAGCAGTCGTAAGATCGAATCCACGTGATGGAGTGAGCTCCCGTCGCTTTGTCCCAGCTCCTCGCCAACCTAGCAGTTTAAAAGCATGTAAATGTGAGTAGATAAATAGGTACTACCTCGGTGGGAAGGTAATGGCATTCCGTGTCTAGTCGCACTGGCCACGTGACCACGGAAACTGTCTATGGACAAACGCTGGCTCTACAGCTTGAAAAGCGGGATGAGCGCTGCCCCCTAGAGTCGGACACAACTGGACTAAAAAATGTCAATGTCAAGGGAACCCAATATACATCTACTATAAAAATATCAAACAGACTTAAAACCAACCATTTGCTATGCACAGCTTAATAAAAGAAAACTGAGAGCTTGTATGTAAAAATTATAACATAAACTTTACTAAACATACAAGACAAAAAAAAATACATACCAAAAAGAGGTTGCTGGTAAAACAGAACAAAATGACTTAGCTTCAGGAGAAAAAACATAAAGCAAGCTGAATCAAAGAACAAGCAGGCATATCAAGTTAAAGGAGAGATAGCAGCAGATACAATACACAGCAACTGCTTCTGCTATCTACCAGCATCTGGTGAAAAGTTAAGTAAGGTTTTCCCTTATATCCAGAGAAAGAAAAAGAAGAAGAGCAGGTGTATCTATTACTGTAATAGCCTGAGACATGGTAGAAAAAAAGGAGGAGCTAGGCTACTAAAGAAAAAAGGTACATGCATGGCTGCATTGCATTGTAAGGAAAAACAAAACAAAATCCAACAACAGGTAAAAAGCTTACGGGGGCTCACCAACAACACCAACAAAGTAATGCTAGAAAACAGGACCTTAGCCTAAATCCCACTGAGAGGAAGCCATCCGCATAACAGCAACTGCACATATGGCTCCCCTCCATCTCAGTTTGCCATCTTTACACACTTGGGCACAGACTTTTTTATTCAAGGGGTAAATGAAGGAGATTACAGTGGACTACTGATTAAAGTGGTAGAATCAATTGTACCATTGGCCTTAGGCAATCATGTAATGTAGCAGAATTTTGGCCACTGTTATTATTGCTGCCACATACAAAGTATTTAACAGCAAAACTTTTGTCTCCCACTACAGAGAACACTTTTCTTTTCCTCTTCTATTTTTCAGATTCTTTGATTAGGTTGTTCAGAACAGTAGTCAACAACTATAAATTTTACCTATAAATGCCAAGCACCTCTTCAATTTGTCACAATAAGCCACAGCAACTTACATGATTATTCTTGAACAATCCCAACAGGATTTTGGCCAGTGTATATACAATCTGGAAAGCCATTAATTCAATACCAATATCAAACTCAGCACATGCTCCTACTTTTTAAACTATTTGTTATCAAAGTTTTGGAGTGGTAATTTCCAGTGTCATCAAATGCTAAACTTTTTCTTCGAAGCAAATTACGTTACACTAAGTGGAAGCTCAATTCACATAAAGCTGTTTTTTCACATGTTGTCTTTGTGGCAACATTTTCAGTATATAATATGTATAGTATAGTCTGCTTTCTGTTACTTGCTGACCTGAAACATCACTTTTAATTTTTTTTTGAATTTCTGAAAAACTTTAGCAAAATCAGTATTATAAAAATAATAGTCATCAATCCAAACACATTCCAAGCACACATCCTGCATCAATTCTAGATTTTCAATTTCTCCTCATGATAACCAATTCACCATTCTAATCTAACAATGGGTCGTTTTCTGTCCCATTACTTTTTGAAGAATCTTACTATAATAAAAAACAGAAAACTATGTCATACAGTTGCACCACTGTTTCTGATGCCAAAGCAGATAAATGGTGCACACAGATAGGGATGCATGGATCCACCTACTAGTCCTGTCCTAATTTCAATATTTTTTAAAGTGCACTAAAACTTTCTATTAGGTGCATCACTACAGTACAACATTCCCTCTAATTTTCAGCCCTGCTGGGCAGGGCTCCACCCCTCTAGGTTGCAACTCTGCTCCTCCCCTGCACATGTGGCTCCGCCTCCCCACACGGGGTTCCATCGTGACCGGAACCAAAGAGGCTGGAAACAATTGCTGTGGCTCCACAGAGCAGGAGGAGCCCTGCATGGAGCAGGATGTAGTTGTATGCGCTGACACAGCTGCGCACCTTAGAGAGAACCTTGCTACAGTATTATGACATACTCCGAGGGCTACCTTTAAAGTTTTCTTCTCTTTTAAAAAAGAACAAAACGGATTAAAACCAATTCCAAGCGTGGGGGGCCACCAAAAGCACACTTAAAATGGGCCACTAAATACCCCTGAGAAGCACAGCATGTCATTACATTTTTTTTCTCTCTCATGGGCATTTCAGGGCCATTTTGAATACAGGAAGGAGGAAATATAGTAGCAGCGAGGCTTTCTAGGTTAAAACCTACAAGGAAAAAAAAAACCCTCTTTGAAAACTTTGAAAAATATAGCCTCCTACTTATCTCATAGTATTGTTAGTACTCAAAGAATATACTGTAAACGTTGTGGGATGGTTCCGCAAGCTATTTCCACTATTCCATTCATAATAGTCCTCGGACCTCTAAGACTGATTGTGATGAGCTGAGAGACCCAAAAACCTTAAGCTGAACAATCAAGTTTCACTACCATGTATTTTTTTCCAATTCCAAACACATTTGTTAGCTTCAGTAGTGCAAAGAGAATATCAGACCCTTACTCGTGCCATCGTAAACCCACACATTTTCTTCAACAAGCATAAAATCTGACAAATGTTAGCTGATTAGTCTACAAATCATATTACAAAACAAATCTGTCGATATGAACTGCTTGCAGTCACAAAGTTATTTCCTTTATCAAAAGTATGGGCTTGTTTTGCCAACACCACTCACTGGAAATCAGCACACACACTCACGGAACATGGTGGCATACTAATTAATCTCTGAATTACAAATGATGCGTAGTTCTCTACAAGTGCCCAAGATACTTAGGTTTAACTTGAGCCACTGCATCAGATTTAATCCATAAATATTCACTATGCACCTCTCTGCAACATTACCTTCACCACTATAAAAAAACAAAAGCTAAAAAAAAAAAGACAAAACCCAACATCTGAGTATTCTTTTCAGCACAACGAAAAGTAAGTTGAAGAGCAGGCAACTGTAAGTATTGATTCAACTGTTGCATTTCTACTTGGGTAGTTTATAAAGACTATTGTGGAAACATGAGAACAGATTAAAGCATGCATTTACTTCCCCATGTAACTCAACATGGCACCAAACTATTAATGAAACAATGAAATGCTAGAAAGAAAGACCCATGACTGCCAGGCACCACAATTTTTGACTTGAGATGTTCCTCGCTGCTCAAAAGTACCATATTGATAAGTGGAACCAAATCAAAACAGCAGCATTCACCTATAGATATAATGAGACTTATTTGTGGTTATATTCAGTGTAACTGTTCAGCTCCGACCATACTTGCCAAAAGAAAGCTTGACAAAAACAATGGGGGGGGGAGGGAAGAAGTATCCAAGTCCATGTTGTGAGCGTCCTGACCCTTACCTTCTTTATTAAGCCTCATCACCTCCCTGCTTTTTCCACCCTCTTTTCCAGTATCTTCTAGCTCTACACCTGCAAAGAGAAGCAAAGTCAGGGAAAAACAAACCTGAGACAGGCCTCAAATGGGAGTATACTGAGGGATACAAAAAGGAGTTAAGAAGTTATCAGCTACAGTCAATGGGGTGGGGGTGGAGAATAAATAAAGGCCCAGAAGCAATCACTGCACCTTCCAAGGCAGATCATGCCAAAGCAGACGCCTCCCCCCCACACACATACTGCAAAAGCATCATCCATGCCTTTCCGCCCCACACCCAACAGCATCCTCTGAAGGCCATGGTCCAATTTATGAAATACCATGGTTCTCTCTCTGTCTCTCTCCTACATCCTTCCCCCCCCCCCCCCTGCCCGGCTCCCCAACACACCACAGCATCCTCCTGCCCCTCCCCCTTGACAGCCAGCCAGCCAGCCAGCCAGAGTCTTTCCCCGCTCACGCAGCTGGCCCAGCCGGAGGTGTCTAGGACTGCTGCAACCCGCCGGACCTGGTGCAATCCCCCATCCGAGAAGGGGAGGTCTATCCGTGTCTCTGTGCAACTGGGTGACGAGGGAGGGGAGCAAACCCTAAGGCGAGCTGGAGATCGCGGAAGGGGAGGGAGGGAAGGAAGGAAAGAAGGCAGGCAGGCAAGCAGGGCATGCAAGCTGCTGCTGCTGCTCCCTCGCTCGCTCGCTCGCACTCCCACCCACCCAGCCGCCCACCCAGCCCCTCGGATGCATCGCATGTGCGTGTTTGGGAGGGGGGGAGGAAGAAGGGAAGCCGCGTCCCCTCCAGCCGGTCCTTGTCTCTGGCGGGTGCCCTTACTGTGCGGGGGGGCGGCGCAGTGCGTGTGCGGAAGGGCGGCCTCCCGGACCCAGGCGGCCCAAGGCTGGCCCAGGAACGCCT